AGTAATATGCGTTTAAGTTATTCTCGAAGGGGGACCATAAATGGGAGCTATGACCAATTATGGATCGACCGTAAAAAAATTATAATAAGATTTCTGTAGATAAAAGCAATATTTGTGCCAAATTTTGTATGGATATCTTTATTGCGTAAAGAGTTTTATTCGTTTAAGTGATTCTCGAAAGGAGACCTTGTATGGGAGCTACGACCAATTACGCACCGATCGTAAACAAATTTTACAGTATCATTTCTGTATATAAAAGCAATGTTTGTGCTAAATTTTGTATGGATACATTTATTTGGTAATGAGAAATATGTGTTTAAGTGATTTTGAGAAGGAGACCTTGTATGGGAGCTATGACCAATTGTGGACCGATCGTGAAAAAATGTACAGTAAGATTTCTGTAGATAAAAACAATATTTGTGCCAAAGTTTGTATGAATATCGTTATTTGGTAATGAGTTATGTGGGTTTAAAAGTTTTTCGGAAGGTAACCTTATATGGGAGCTATGACCAATTATGGACCGATTCAGAAAATTGTTTCTTTATATGAATTCTATTGGCATTGAATTTAAATTTGTAAATTTTTTTAAAGATATCGCCATTATTTCGGAAGTTATTAACAATAAATTAATTTCGGGGAATATGTACATTTGTATGGGAGGTATATGTAATTGTGAACCGATTTTTCAGATTTTTAACAGTGTTGATCCTGGCACCAAGAGTTACATCTCTGACAAAATTCATCAATTTATCTGCAGTAGTTTTTGTAAAAAAATACAAATAAATATGTGAAAAAACACAATTTTTATGAGGTTGTCTCAAATTTTTACTCATAACTCTGAACCTATTTCACCGATCTGATTTTCAATACCAAACTGCATAGGATATTAATGAATATTTTGGGTGAATTTCATAAAGTTCCGTTGCTTCGTTTTAACGTGAGCATATTTTATATATATTTCTCGGTGTTACAAACGGAATGACAAACTTATATATAAACTCTATCACCACTGATGGTGGTGGAGCGTATAAAAATATTATAACTTTAGATCTATAATAATATTCCAGCAGCAAATTAATTATTGTAATTTGAATATAATCTTAAGATTGATAAAATTATTATCACAGTTATTTCAATCAATTTTTTTTATTTATTTTATTTTATTTTATTTTATTTTATTTAACAATATTCAATAACCTAGCCTATAGGCCATAAGCGGTTACAAATTTCTACTTCACAATAATTCCTCCAATACAAAATACATAATTATATATAAATAAAATTACACCTAATTTTTTTTAAAAAGATAATATACTATATAAAATAACGATAGGACAATTACAAATAAAATGATTTAATTAATTAGGAAAATCAAAAAAGTTTAACCAAAGGTGCTTTAGAAAAATATACTCTAGTTCCTCGAATCGAATATTTTTAAAATTTAGACGGATTGTATTATTATTTACTTCAAAATTTAATTTAAGTAATCTTTGAATACAAAGCAAATAAAAGTATTCGAAACCGGTTGAAATAACGAGTCAATCACCCTAATGAGTACGCGGCAGGTAAAAAAAGGCGAAACTTTTGGTTTCGCTTATACATACGTCAAAGCATTTTAATCAACGAAACCAAAAGAACTAAATTTCATTTACAAATTTTTATAACTTCATGTTTGAAATTTGTAATTTGAACGCAAAACGGTATCTTACTAAACTTTAACAAATTAATTTCTAAAAATAACATTAAAACTCTATATTAAATTAAAAATTTCCTTCTTCAGACAAAGCCAATTATGAAAAATAAATCATACTTTATTCTCTTATAGGATATTATATTGTCGGCCACTCCTGACTATAGTTTCTTACTTATTTATTTTAGGACAAAATGTATTTTAAACAAATCGGCAAATAATTTAGATGTTGCCCAAGCTTTTTTGTTGGATATCCATACTACAGGAAGATTTGCCTTTGTAATCTTTTTTTATAGCCCTTGGGGTTTCAGACATATATACCAATAAAGTCCCCCGATGAATTACCACCAAGATAGAAATGTTCTTGACATTCACTTCCAAAAAAGCCCTGCTTCATTCACATTTAACACTTGCTGAGGGGTGGGTGCATCTCCCATCATCATCATATCCATTAACTTATTATAAAACTTTGAGCAGCTTTTAAAAGCGAGAATTACCGTTTTTATTTATAAGTAAACAACAGAAGCGCCGTAAATCAAATGACTACGAAGTTGAAGGGAACAAAAATTTTGACGACGTTAATCGAAACAACGTTAATCGAGACGACGTAAAACGAGGGATTACCCCAGCAAAAACTCGGTAATGGGTTGTACTTCCATAACCACTTACTTTTCAATGACTATTACTTACCGTCTGCATTACATAGAAGTACTCTAGTAATGACTTTCTTATAATCTGATATAGAAGTACTTTATTTTCGGCTTTGTCATTTTGTTTGCACATTTTATTTAATTGCGTTTTAAGAATTGTGTTTTAAAAAAATAAAAAAAAAAATTAGTTTTGTTTGTGAAAACCATTATTTGACGCGCAATAAAATAGCTAAGCAGTGGTGCAGTGTGTAGAACATTTGACTAACAAACCGAAGCCCCTGGTTCGTATTCTAGCTGGCTCTTTTTATTATTAAAAAACAAAACAACTTACTCAACAACTGTTTTGTAAGGGAAATTGCAAGTACTTCTTTAAGTCCCTATTTGTAAGCGTGCGTAGAAGTACTTGCCTCCAATGACATCACCGTGTTAAAATAATGACTTAAAATGCTAATGAAGAAGTAGTGAAAAGAGGTTTTATTAGCTATTTAACTCATTACTTTTCAATGTAAGTTTTTCCTGGGACTGTATTTCAGTAAAGAATGTGAAGTAACGCCTCGGACAAATATTTTAGAAAATATTACAAAATATGTTTTAAATACATACTGTACGGAGACTTGTTTGAGCCAGTGTACATACATATGTACGTACAATATAAAATACTAAAGAAAAAATGTATTTATGTATTAACATTTGTATTAAAATTGGATTATTAGAATCAGTGTTATTTTATTGGACTTATATTTGTAACTATGCAGTGAAAAATTGTTTCAGTTCGATTCGTATATTTTTGTACGAATGACACCCTAATATCCAGAAACATACGCATAGTATTCAGCAAAAGAAATCACTTTTAAAGAGTTCTTAAACATTTAAAAACTATTAACAACGTTTTCGGTTATAACCATTTTTTATAGCCCTTTTAATCCCCTTCCTTTTTCCAGTTGATTTATTTTTTTTAATTTTACCACATTATATACATACATGCATATATATATTTATTTTTTGAAACAACGGCAAGGGGTTGGTTGGTTGCTTACAGCGTGTATGTATGTACTATGTTAACAATACAGTGAATACCGTCAGTATGCTTCGCTATCTGTTTTAGTGTATTTAAACTTGGTACTTTTTGTCTGAAATAATTTGTTAAAAAAAGGAAAATCTTAACACTCGGCGCTTTCGAATGTATGGCGCACAATTGACAAATATTTTTTAAGCTTAATTTGAAACAAAAAAAGTAAACAACAACAATAACAGTATGTGTATTAATAGGCGGCCGAAATTATCAAAGAAATAAAATATCGTTCCCAAAGATATTTTGTACAAAAATGACAAACGCAATCTAAGAATAAGGGATGTTTCATCATCATCTTCATAATTTTTTAATACACAACCTTTATTTTCTTCTTTATTCAGTAATAAGAACGAAAAGAAAAAAATCTTACGCATGAACTAGTTCAAATGTCCCTTAATGTAAGTTGTGATAAAAAAATATTTAATAAACACTTTCCCTTACACAAAATCAACATATTTATACCGTTAACAAACTAAGCACAGTGGGAGCACAGAACTGATTTAAGCGTTATAAAATATGGTAGCTACTTGCCCAATTATGTTTAGAACCATCCATAAACGATCATACATATTTATTGGTATTAAACATATTTTTCAAGTAACAGAAGTGTTTGCTAGATTTTTTTAAATATCTTGAGATTTTTTTTTAAATATCGCGGAACCCTTATTTTTATATTTCTGTTTGTTCTAAAATATGGTTAAAATTAGGATTAAAAATTAATTAGGATTAAAATCTTTGAAAATCATAAAATTTCTGAACTGTTATACATAAAATGCCAACATTATCAAAAAAAATTCAAAATTGTGTGTCATTTTGTTCCTTAAACTATGGATTGGGTAATATTATTTTCTTAAATATAAGGATAATGTAAATGTCCAAATAATTTTGTTTCCGAAATAATTTGTTTCAGAAACATCTAAGCTTCAATTCTGAGGTAAGGATGAAAGAAAGAAATAAAAAAGTATGTTAATGTATATATGAATAGTTTCACATTTACGAAAACTCTGATGCGAATTTAAACCGAAATTAAAAATTCTCTAGAAAATATAAAGAAGTCGGATAAGATTTACGAACACATAAATCGCTTAAACAACCATAAATATGTATTGTATAAGTATATACATATATTTTTGGCATTGCCATCATTTATGCAGAACAATATACGACCCGACTTGTACTAATTTTCAAATTTTGTTCATTTTATTTCTTCCAAATGCTTAAATGCGTTTGATATGCATTACATTTTCTCCCTTCATGAAATCATAAAGTTTAAAAAAAGGAAAATAAAAAAACAATATTACCGTACAGTAGTAAATGTGACAAGTCTCAAGGTCTTGTGTGGAGTGTTTGTTGAAGTGTAAAGTAATTATTGTTAAAGGTCGTTTTGGGGGTGGACTGTCATTGACAAAAAGATTAAAAAAATGAAATAGAAGCAAAAAAGATGGAAGGAGGAAGAAAAAGTGGCATCTATAGGGGAGGGGTATTACCGAAATAGAAGCACAAAACCACACAAATGATTATTACTTCAAACCAAAAGTTTTAAGAATAGTGAATATATTTTTTTAACAAACATAAATACAATACTTACGCTTGGAATGTTTTCGTTTGTACAAACGCCATCTTGCAACAATTTATCACGTATTTCCCATGCAAATATACTTGGGCATTCCCTCTTGTAGTGAGAAATTTTCGCAACAACCTCAGCCGTAGCGACTCGAGGTTTTGAACCACCTATCGCTCGGGGTCTTATACTGCCGGTTTCATAATATCTGTAAAAAAGTAGAAAAATTAACACTCTATTTAAATTCTATCAATTAATGTTTCTTACAATATAGAAAGCATATTAATTAACTTAATAGTCTTTTATGTAAAAGTGGAAAACAAAATTAAATTAGATTTGTAATCTTCTATGTATCAGTACAAAATTAAAGTTTGATATGTGGTGGTAAACTTAATAATATTTTGTGAGACTTTTAAAACAATGCGAAATTTACCACCACTTCTGTACTTACAAATTAAAACCTACTTTTGTGTAGAACAATCATAAACAGTTGTATATTGAAAATTGTTTTGTTACTGACCTGCCCAAAATTTTACTAACACATCCATTTGAAACCTGTAAAATGCGTGATATGTCACATGGTCTGGCTCCAGAGTGTGCTAATTCCACTATTTTTTGTCTAGTTGAATCTGGAAGAGGACGGCCACCAACGAATACACCACCCAATTGATTTACACCGCTATGACCTGGAAATAAAACATATGTACTTAGTAATATATTTTTACAAAATTGCTTTTTATTTATGTTCCAAATTTTCCATATTGCAAAAATATGAATAAAATCAGGAAAACATTCAAAAAGGTCTTTTGATTGACGCAGGAGAAACATTTTAAGAAATTTACTTTTAGATTGAATTAAACCTATTTTTGTTTGGGAACTATTATAGAAATAATATAGAAAATAAATGTATATAACTACACTGAAAATAATCTATGACTAATATAACGATTTTTTTCCCGGTTTTACGGAATTAATTACATTCCAAATATATTCCAAAAATATAAAATTTTCAATAGTAATGCTATAAGATTCAATACTTCTAATAAAAGAAAATCATCTTCAATCATAATTTTGGGAAATAGAAAAGTATGAGAAAGAAGTCTCAGACTTTATTAAATTAGTAAACGAACCTGAACTACGAGTTTTTCTAGATGTCGGCACATATAAATTATTTCCTCCCCACCTAAGTGAAATAGGATATAAACGAATTTTTTTAATGGTCTAAATTGTAACCCCAATACAAATACCACAAACCTCAATACAAAACAAATGTGTGTTGTAGCTGATTTTTAAGTGTCATGCAATGTGGCCTTTAGTAGTGTTGTGTATATTAGGGATTACAGTAAGTTAATAATTTATTAGTCATATTTTGGCAAATCTTAATTAAATTATAAATATTTGTTACAGTATTTAAAAAAATAAATACAATACAAAATATACAATTAACTTAAAATTATTATTATTCGCATATATTAGAGAATAGTAATACTAACAACATTCGTTACTTCCCTAATGTATGTATGTTGGTGCGAGTATGTAAGAATTGTCTCAACCCATTCTGTCATGCTAAAATAGCAACCAATCAAGCATGTAATGTGCTATGACAGTCTTCTCAAACTGTCAGCATAGATTATCGCAAACAACATTTGTTTTTGTGGAGTTTTTGCTGTTATAATCACCCAAAAAATCATAGCAACAGAAAAAATTCATTTTGCTAAGACAAGCAAGTATTCGAAATGTTCGTTGTATTCTCAGATAAAAGGTATACTGCAATCATACACATAAATATGTTTGTATGTATTTGTCCGTCGGTCTGCCTATCCTTATAGCATATTTTGTTTAAAATTTTCGCAACCAGTACAAAATTCAGACCAGTCCAGTCACCGTATACCTAGATACAAACATACACAAATCTATAGACAACATACGCACGTATGTACATACATGTATATGTCCGTATGTAAATTATTAAGGAGATAAACAAATTTTTATCATATTACACAAAGAACAATGATATTTTAGTAACGCATCGTAAATGTTCTCTAAAACAGTGGTCGACAAGGAAAATTACAGATTTTTGAACTGTTTGTTGTGTATTGCATAAGTTCGAGGACATTTATGTTATATACATGCAAATATGAAGGATCCTAATAGGGAGTTAGGGTAAATCTCTGTCCGATCCTTATAAACCTTGTTTCAGGCTATCCTCTTAAACTTTTCTTAACATTATGCATATTTTTGGTTACATAAAACTGTACCACATTTGCTTCACAATTAATGTCACTTGCATAGGAGCTATGTAAAATTGAAAACCAATATCGCCCATTTTAATACAAAACAAACCTTATAAATAATATATTATATTTGTTGAAAATTTCAGCCTTTCCGTTCGAACCCTTTCGTCATTTCAACAGACTGACATGGCTAGATCACCTTAGATCCAGTCTTCTCTCCCTATTAATGTTAAAAAATCTGACTAAATCAAGTATAAAGGAACAATGATAGATCTGTTAAGGCAAGGAGTATAATTTCTTCTTTTATTTTATTAAGAAATTTGGGATTTTGTGTCATGCTCAGCGACGCCAAGTGTAGGTGATTTTTGTAGGAATTTTTTTTAATTTCATATTTTTAGCAACTAAAAAATATCCATTTTTAAACTTTAGAATTACATACATACAAAGAAAATCAGTTTTTACAACAATTGAAGGGCTTATTGCAGTAACTCGGTATGCGATAAAACAAAAATAATGAAAAAATGTATTTAAAGTTTTGAAAAATATTGCATTTATAAATGAAGGCTATATATTTTCAGCTATATAAAATAATTATATTTAAATTTTAGGGTTAAATGTAAAAAATAAAGCTTTAAAATTTAAATTTTAGATATTAATAAAACTAAATTCCTAAAAATTAAAAAATATACATATATATGGGGAAAATCGTGACCCAACTTTAAAAATCGATGTCTTCCGATTTGGATGAAATTTGCACCAAGGTTAGTACTATGGGATAGCATAACAAACTGGGGCTACATATGGATTTTGTAACTCTGTTAAAATTGGGGGTATTTTGTTCTTGAAATGATGAGGTTAAAGAGTGTTTAATATTTGTTTTTTTTTTTTTTTTTTTTGACAGTAAAAAATTAAGTAAATTTTTGCAGTATGTCTCACTAATTTGTTTACAAAAGAACACTTTAACACTTACATATCTACATAAATTATAATTTAAGCTAAAACACTCCGCATTCGTAGAGTCATTAATCGTTTATTTTAGGTTTATTACTCACATTTTCCATACAAAATTTCTACAATAAACCATCAACAACTTTATTAAGCATTTATGAACACGGGGATTAACATTTTAACTGACTTTATTAAATTAGAATATTAAAAGATAAAAAGTTGCTGGAAAAGAAATAGATATATAGATAAGATAGTATAGAGTATAATAGATATAGATAGAGAGAGAGTAGATATAGATATATAGATAGAGTATATATAATATAGATATATAGAGATATAATATAGATATAGATATATATATATATATATATATATAATATATTATATATATATATATATATAGATATATATATATATACATATATACATATTAATTTCGAAATTAAATTACTTCTGACATGGGCCCCTGAAGTCGAGAGCCCTGGGCGCTTGCCCAAAGAAATTAAATTACTTCTGACATGGGCCCCTTGAAGTCGAGAGCCCTGGGCGCTTGCCCAAAGACGGCACTACGTGCTTTAGTCGCTGCAATTTTAGGCTTAATTATATTTTCATTTTTTTTATTTCAAAACAATAAATTACGAAGAAAAATACATATATGTATATTTCTTCCTATCCGTGTGACATCGCTTTACATATTAGAACTTGGTTGTTGAAATTTGGTAATTTTATACACTTTTTAAAAATTTTGCAAAATTTTTATTTTATTTTTGTGGTTTTATATACTAAACAATGACTTATACAAACGAATTATTGCAAGTTCGCCAATTTATCCAAATGTTAATTTAGATTTTAATGTAACCTATGAAAAATTTGAATAATATAATAATTTCCCAGATATACGAAATTTTGTATTTAATTCATGTGACATGACAGTCCGGCCATTTTTCTTTAAATGTTTGCATGAATGCTAAAGTTTCTCAAGTAAAATTTGAATTTGATTTTCTAGCTCTAATAGTTTCTCAGATATACGAATTTTTGTATTTAATTCATATGGGAGGTTCCAATTTGCTAGTCCGTCAATTTATTACCCAAATGTTGACATTAATGTCAAAGGATTTTTGCTCTAATAGTTTCCCCAACATACGGTTTTTTCTATTTAATTCATATGGGAAGTTCCAACCACCCCCATTCTGCCCATTTTCGACAAAATGTTGAAATAAATGTTAAATTTCTTCGTGCAAAATTTGGAGATTTTAGGTCTATTAGTTTTCCAGACAAACGATAACTCCAATCTATTAGCCAAATGTTCACATGGATGTCAAAGTTGTTCTTGCAACATTTTAGCTTTAATAGTTTCTCAGATATACGAAATTATCTATTTAATTCATATGGGGGGTTCCAAGCCCCCCTAATGAAAGTCCGCCCTTTTTCCCCAAAATGTTCAGATAAATATTAAAGTTCTATTAGTTTTTCAGATAAACGAATTTTTGTATATTTTATTCATTTGGGAGGAGCAACGCCCCCCATTGGTAGCCCGCCAATTTATTACCCAAAATGTTTACATGGATGTTAAAGTTTTTCGTGTAAATTTTGAAGATTTTCAGATAAGCGAGTTTTTGTATTTAATTCATATGGGAGGTGCCACGCCCCCTACTTCTAGTCCGCCCCCTCTTTCCTTAAATAATAAAATAATTGAAATATTTTAAATAAACGGCCACAATTTTTCACGCCTTGAAAAGCAATTTATATTACTTACCAAAATTCCAAAAATTAAATTTTGACTCATTTTAAATGGAGTTTTATTAATTATATGTATGTATTTCAAATACTTATACTTAATTTCACAACTTAAAATCACTCTTGCTTGTTCAGATGATCGTACAAAAATAAATATTTTTTTAAGTTATGTCATTTATATGTCGCAGTTATTTTACGTTATTTTAAAATTTTTTGCATAGCAATGTAGCGTAGAAGACAAGATACAACAAACTGTCGCTTGTCTTGTCTTCAACAGAGTCTAATATAATATAACATTCAGTGTGACCAGGTCTCAAAAAATGTTGCGGCTAAATCCCATCCAAAATAATGCTAAAAAAAATGCTAAATTGATTTTAAAATGCCAAAAAAATTCTAAAATTTTTTAAGTGTTTTTATTAACAATTCATATTAATTTTAACTGAAATTCATTGTAATTTATAACAAGTATGAGTATAAAATTTGATTTATTTTTCGTAATAAAGCATATATGTTGAATTGAACCTTGGTTCCGATATATTTAAACTAATTTTCTGAGAAAGGCTTTATGCATATGTATGGAAGCTAGGTAAAATAAAGGACGGACTTTAACCATTTTTAAATGGTTTTGTCATTGCATCAAAAAGCATACGTGCTTATTGTTCTGACAATTTCAACCTCTACCAGACGGGCAGACTTACATGGCTTAATCGATTCAGAAAATGATTCTTAACCGATTAGTATACTCAAACGTAGTATAGTGGAGTAGG